TGCATGACATTTTCTCACTTTCACATCACCTTCTAGCAAGCTGGAATTTGTATATCCCCCGTGTTGCGGAGTCGAAGAGCAAATGCTCATCTTCTCGTCAGGTTTAACACCTGGACGAGTCAAAGGCTCTTGAATTGAAATCCAATCCCCAAGTTAACCATCGTACTCATCTGAAAGACTCCTATGTGTCTTAAAATTTGGTAAGACCTCTAACCGTGCTGTAGAAAATTTGCCACGTCTGGGCAGCGAACGATGCACTCTCTCCGAACTTCCCCGTGTTTTTATTTGAGTTGTTCGTGGCGCAATGCACTCTGGTTAAATGCAATGCATTGTGGTAGAAAGTGTGGTTAAATGCAATGCATTGTGGTAAAAAGTGATGAATTCGAGAATTCGTCGCCCCTTATATATTTCCTTTAAATCCTGATTATGTTGCTGCTCGCTCTCTTCGGTCGCTCCGCAGCAATTATTATTTGGGCGTCCGAGGTGGCTTGTTTTGATTCAAAGTTGCAATACGCACGCAATACGGGGTTTTAAAATGCTGCTCGTAACTAGAGGGCATCGTTTACGAGAGTGGTCGCAGGAACAGCTCCGACTGTATTTACTTTTTTTGCTAAAGGGAGGTGACATTCCACCCATGACATTTTCCTCATCCGCACTGGTTGTAACCTGCTTGTATCTACACAGAAGAACACTTAGACAAAACACTACTGAATACCTTAAGAGGCTTAGAATATTTTAAAAAGGAGGTATTAACATCCCACAGTATATGGTACCCTGGCTACCAGAGGTTTTTTTAAGGCTTACCCGAAACCGGAAACGACAAACCACGCATAAAAAGCCTCTGTCGCCAAGGGGAACAGTATGGCAACATAGACTCCAGCTGTGCACATCTCTTTTTTTATTGATTTAGTTCACTTATATAGCCAATCCTACATGGTTGATCTCAATAGAGCACAACCTAAATTAACATTTCATTTATTCGATAATTTAATACTAATCTGCAGCCTTATACTACACTACAGCACAAGACAATTCAACATTTTCATATTCAAAGTTTTTTTTTAAAGTTGGCTAGAATCTCCCTCCTCTTCCTGCAACCGTATTTTCAGTTATTCCTAGACGCGAGCACAAAAAATTGACTTCCTAATGTACATCACTGAATTGTTATTACACCTGCTACATTCTAATATTAATATTAACTAGAAATTACAATTAAATTAAATTAAATTTTTGGCGATCCACAGAATTATATCCTTTTCGAAATTTCCTAGAACCCTAGCAAAAGAGTATGACTTGTTAGGAGTAGCAGTCCCCGTAAAAGCTAGAGTGAGCCAAATCAAGAGCCTGCTCGCCAGCATTACTGTCTAATCGAATTTGTTAAAAACAAAAATACCATAAACTACCTCTTATAAGCTCTGGGCTTATACATCTTCGTAAGTGGTTTTTGGCGGGCTTATAAACGGGCCTTCTCTCCTGGGAGCTTAATTAACCGCAATAGAAAAATTGCGTTTCAAAATTTGAGATCGAGACTTAAAGCGTTTTTATCAATTCCGAGCCCGAGACTCTAAGCGTAGAAAATTTCGAGATAAAATTTCGGGATAAAGGTACAAGTAAAGCTAAATAATATAATCGAAAACGGCAATGGAAGCTAGCGGAAGCCCACCAAAATACCGCTTTATCTTTTACTCTCTTGATCTACTAGCTCAGTACGATAAGCCGTACCCAAATGAACTCTGAAAAATTTCGACTTCTGAAGACCAAACGGAAAGAAAAAAAAGACAAATCCGAGACTCCGAGACGCAAAAATGACTCGAAAACGAGACTTCGAGACCCATCAAAAACGCTTCCGAGATGTCGAGATCGGGCCAAAACTTTCCGAGACCCAAGTTTTTCGAGGTAGCATTCTGTTCCCCTACTTACTGGTTTTTAAATTAAGCTTCTAAACGTCACTGTAATCACTCAATTTTTATATCCAATGGAGGGGTGGGGAGGCGTATAAGTGGAAGTTTACGGCAACTCCCTTGAGAGCACTCAGAATGTATGTCTGTCTAAAAAATTGTCTTTGAGTCCATGTGATGTCCACATCTCAATGTTTGAAGAAATTCTCTGCCAGATACTCTTTGACTTTGGGCCAGATAACGTTAGTCTCTGTTCCAGAAAATGACTTCAGTAAACTCTTTTTACTGCAAGTTTGAAAGGAATAGAAAGGTAAGACAGGAATAAGTACAAACCAGCCATCCATGTTGAGAAAATTATCTCAAAGTACATGTATTGCAGCATTATACATAACCTGCTGAAGACAGGAACACAATTTGGCAATCTGAGGGAGGAAAAGATCTTAATGCCTCAGCGATGAGGGAATACCTCATCCAATACAATCTTGACCTTTCAAGGTCAACAACAACAATTTATTTTCTTGCAACAAAATCAATACAGTCATCATCAAGAGGAAACTTAAGAGAAAATGCTTTGATCTTTTTTCAAATTCTCTCCAGCAAATATTCTTTAAGGAAATGTATGGATCTGAGATTGGAGAATTTGTATGTGGATGGAGAAAGACCCTGAGCACTGGGGCAGCCTCTGCGTATCCCAGGTAAAAAAAAAATGGGTGTCAAAGTATGTAGCACTATTTTTGGGGCTCATGTAACAGCTGCTTAGAAAAGAAGTCACCAATAATACTAAAACAATTGGAAGAATGACAATATGTCATTATTTCCTGCTACCAATTAGAAGAGATCTTACAAGCAGTTCCTACACTACTCATTTTTTTGTCTCCAAGTGGGGCAGGATGGCCATTTTATGTGGTCATCTGAGCCACCTAAAGGTCTAGCTGCTAGCAGTGTAAAGGGAGTACCGTTATTTCACAGTTATTTTAGGACCCTGAGTATTGGTCCGTCCATGGAAATCAAACTTGGACTTTCCGCCCTGTAGTCAAGCACTCAACTGACTGAGGTAATCCTTCCAACCTGCATATTAAGGTCATTTTCTCTAAGATGGACCTGTTGAATTGGGAACATCTTATAGAGACAGTCAGGTGACCAGCTGAGAGAATCAAAGAAAAATGAGCGGACTAAGAATCTTGATACTTAATTCTCTCCAAACAGTTTTCATAAAACAGATCTAGAGAAAGGGGAACTTACCTATAGAATTCAAGTAAAGGTTTTGTCATGTCTTCATACTGGTTTAATCTTTGTTTCACAGTCTCTGGCTATTGTATAAAGTACAAAAAAAAAGAAAGAAAAGATTCAAAGTACTTCCACATAAACTGGGTAAGTGTTCAGAGGTGTGGTGCCTCCTCCAATTATAAAAACAAAACTTCTCAAATACACCCCCTCTCCTCTTCCCATTAGGGATTAATTAATATACACCAGCTTTCTTGATGCATTCTCCGTTCTATACAGAAAGTCATAAGTAATTTTGTAATATTTATACAGATTTAGGGCAAACAAGTCGAACTACTTTGCAAAATGTTTATTAGTTGACACAGAACTGAGTGTCAGCATTGTTTTTTATATGCTTTAGTATCATTAACATATTTACTCTGTGCCCACTGCCCCTGATTCATTGTCACCCCCGAGTAAGTGCTGCATTTGGTATGAATAAGTTAATAATTACCACTCCAAATAAGCACAGCGGCCCCGATATAATCAAAATCAAAGGAGTTTAATTCTGTTTGTTTAATAAAGAAAATAACAATACCATGGTTAAAACAATAATTTCTTGTTGCATCCAACTTTCAAATGAAGGCTACCCTCACATAAGTTCCAAATTTGAGGCATGAAACATTTATAAGGGCCACGGCACTTATTTTAGTAAATATGGTAATCACTACAAAAATGAATGCAGCTTATTTTAAGAATAATATTTAAACTTAGCCAAGGCAAAGCTCCCGTTAATAAATAGACATCCACTTAAAGTTGAACCTGCAATCAATCGAAAACTAGTAACTTGTCCACGGTGAACTTCAAAAAAGCACGTAACCACAATGCATGGGTCGACACCTCAGCCCACAATACGGTCATGTGATACTGGTCAGGGGAAACCCCGTTTTGACAGCTGTCAGTTGACCAGAGCATGGATGTGCAATATAACAGGTTCGTCAAGGCCTAGAGGCTACCACACTGGCTAAAAAGTTTAACACTTAATGTTGGTTACCCTGTGGGGCAGACAGATGGGTGGGTCAAGCGGACTTATCGTCCCGTGATTACCCAAACTTCTCAGATGGATAGATTACCATGGGGCTCTGCTCACAGAGCACACATGGAACTATATGCTTTCCTGGGGACTGTATAAAAGAGGATACTAACCTTATCATCATCTCTCTGAACAAGATCTTCACCTGTTTCGTCATCTTTTCCCTATGAACAAAGTTGTACAGTTGTGCAGGTTAAAGAAAGTTTAATCTCAGGATTTATCTAAAGCTTGTCCATTAAGCCAATCATTTGCAGGAAATAAATAAAATTAATATTACTGTTACTTGGGAATTTTGATAGCTTGCGAAGAAGTTATTGCTATTACTATTATTGCTTTTAATATTACGTATGCAAAAACAGATTATTATTATTATTAGTAGTAATGGTAACAGGACTGAGTGGAGTCCAATTCAGTCCGTAATCATACGGGTGATTAACAAAATCGGACGACCGCGTAGCGGGAGTTCGATTTGTTTAATCACGAGTATGATTACAGACTGAATTGGACGACACGAAGTTCTGTTACCAATTAATCATAACTTTAACAAAATTTGTGACATAATAGGCTATTTTTTAAATCAAAACACAAGAAACTCGAAATTTTGTTTTGTTAGCAGTGAAAAAAAAGCCATTTAAGCGCGCGCGTGATGGCACGTACTGTCCAATTACTTAGGCATGACGTGTACTGTCCTATTAAATTGTCCAATTAAGGCTGAAATCAGGGCAGTTGGTAGCCAATCAGATTTGAGACTTTTGTTATAGTTATGATTAGTAATGGTAACAGGACTGAGTGGAGTCCAATTCGGTCTGTAATCATACGAGTGATTAACAAAATCTGACGACTGTGTAGCGGGAGTCCGATTTGTTTAATCACAAGTATAATTACAGACCGAATTGGACTACTAAAACATCTGTTACCAATTAATCATAACTTTAACAAAATTTGTGATATATAAGGCCCTTTTTTGAAATCAAAAGAGAAGAAATGCCAATTTTTTGTGCTAGTAGTGAAAAAAAGCCATTTAAGCGCGCGCTTGATGGCGCGTACTGTCCAATTACTTAGGCATGATGCGTACTGTCCTATTAAATTGTCCAATAAAGACTGAAATCAGGGCAGTTGGTAGCCAATCAGATTTGAGAATTTTGTTATAGTTATGATTATTATTATTATTATGTCATCTGGGTCATTATTACATACATTTTTGACTTACTGGTACTTTTGGAGGGTTAAAATCCAAGTTATATGTTCTCCCACTGCCAGGATGAATCCAGCGCTTCTGCAAACAACAATAATGGTATCATACACTTGTCTAATAATAATAGTAATTAATAGTAGGTAGCAAACCTTACATAGGAATTCCTGAGGGGCACTTCCCTGTAAAACATGGGTGCACGGGGATGCTCATGGGTAAATTAATTTAGGGGTTAAAATTGGTGTTGCTGTACAGCTCTACACTCCACCCCACCCCCCCCCCCCCCCCCCCCCCCTCACCCCCCCCCCCCCCCCCCCTAGGATAAAAGAAAAGAATAGTGTAGTTTCACATGATTAAATGTAAGCATTCAAATTTCCAGGGATTAAGATAGAAGCAGGATAATTTGTCTAAAATCAAAAGATCTAGTCTTAAATCATGTTACTGAAGCTGTGGTAATTGACAAAAAGAAATTACGTGACGATGCTCAAGGCTAGGCTTGATCAGAGTTGCTGAACTACATGTAATAGAAATTTAGATAATTTTAACCAGTTTATAGAAGGATTAAATAAGATTGATTCGTCAGGGAACTTACTGAAATTCTGTCTATTATGGTCTCAAAAGGAACATCAAGGTTCACCACAACATCTAGTTCCTGTTTTTCTCCCAACTTTTCAGCCTGGACAACAGTCCTTGGAAAACCTGTTAACAATAATTCAATGAGCTCTCAATCTTGATCAGTCACCTAAATATTAAATAAGGAGGTCTCCTTTTGGTCCCCATCCCACCCTTCCCCACCCCTATAGGTACCCACCAACATCTAACCCCTCTCCCCTGCTACAAACACTTAAACCTACAAGAAGTCACATTAGTTGCACATGCATTCACACTCAAGTACAGTACATCAAAATTCATGAAATATCATATCACTAACTGGTAGACGCTGTGCTTCATCTTCCAAAGGTACATGTACGTGCATCTTAGCTTTCAAGAGTGCTAGCAACTATAGATAATGTTTTGACCTTAGAAGGCCTTTCTCCACCAAACCTTTCCCCCATGGTCCATAACAAGATTTAGCCATCCAAGTTTTCACCCAGCAGGGTACAAAAGGTAAGAAGGGGAAGAGATTTTCCTGGCCCAGAAGCCTTTAAAAGGATCTGAAGGCTGGTGATGAGCTTACTGAGATGTCCAGTTTTGGTATTGTTGACTGTGTGCTCCACATATCATACAATTCCTTCAGTCAATCAATCAATAATATTTATTTATACACGATAAGTATTTAAAGCGACACTTCGCTTGTGGGGTCGTGTCCTGGCAAATGGGATGTTTCAGATGAGAGGTTTTTTGTCCTTTGGGAATTAAGCAATATTATTAGGAAGAATTTGACAGTTTTGTTAAATCAAAACAAAGAATACTTTTTTATTCTTGTCAGGCATGAAAGCATGAAATCATGCCAATATGGCAATATGGGTGTGACTGTAAATAAAACTTTCCTTCAGCTGTTTCTAGACCTGTTATAATTTAACATATAAAAGACACAAATTGGAACACAGAAAAAAACAATAACAAGGACACTTTGAACAAACTTAAAACAAGAGAAGCCAAATAAATCGCTGAGAGATTTGAACGGTCTTTTTTTTCACACAGCAAGGGCTAAGCAGTTATACAGTGTAAGGCCCGTGAGTGTATATTCAGCTCTCTCGTTAAATCTGTTCCTCACTTAAAGCTTTCCATGTCATAACAGTAAACATTTATGATAGTCTAAAGTTAGCTTCTGCATCATCCAACAATATTATGTGTTTTAAGAAGCTGATGCGCAAATTGGTACTTGCACGATCTTAGCTTCGTGCTACTCTTTCCACTTAAGCTACAAGCCTTCTTTTCTTTACTGGTAAATTATAAAAATATATATATATTTTTTAACTCTATCTAAGCATGCTAAAAGCGTTCTAGTCTTACCATCTAAAAGCCAGCTTCCCCCTGCCAACTCCTTCATTTTGCTGAGTATAAGTTCGATCATGATTTCATCGGGAACAAGGCCACCTTTTTCCACGATCTCCTTCGCTTTTAAGCCAACCTCTGTACCCTCTTTAATCTGTGATCGAAGTACGTCCCCGCTCGACAAGTGAGCAACACCGAAAGTGCTTACGATTCGATCAGAAACGGTCCCTTTACCCGATCCTGGAGGACCCATTATAAGGGCACGCACTGGTTTTGAAGACATACTCGATAAATGTATTTGACGTTCTTGCTTGATTTGATTACTAAGGGCTGATCGAATCGAATGAAGTCGTCGAACAGCGTGCATTTTTTAAGTTTCTGAAAGATGGAATATTCGGCCGAGTTAGCGCTGATGACTGGGAACGAAAACATTACGCTGACAAAGTTCCCTACGGGCTCGAAAAATTTTGCACGTGTAGATTCAAGATGGCGGATGCAGAAAGCCAGAAGAAAAGGTATTGCTTTTTCACTTCGATTCTAGCTTTCCTTTAGCTTTTTTCGAGCCGCCTAGACTCATATGTGTCATTGTTATGATGTGGTAGGTTATTTTAAGGTAACGAAATGTCTTGCATTATTTCTAAACCACCACATGTACACACTTTGGGGTCTGACAGTCTAATTTATACAAACACAAACGTGTAAACTAGTACACCTTATTGAAAGCTACTTATTCTAACGTATAATCAAAGTCGTAAAATAGAAACAGATACACGAAACATAGTACGTATACGATAAGAAGCCTGTCTGTGAGAGCGGTGGGAGGGCAAAAGAAAATTTAACTTGAAAAGCTATGGAAGTTTGCTAGATAGCAGTGCTTGCCTGCTTGCAAAGACTAAAATGCGTATTACCCTAGTTCTCCCAGCGCTAAGAATTGCTACGCTCTAAACTTGTTGCTTAATGACTGGTTGCTAAAATATCTTGTGACTATAGCTGGATTGTAGTAGCTTTACTAAACTGGTGTACTTTTCCTATGACCAAGAAGACCCGCCAGGCGCCCCGTGCAATCGTCGGACAGTGGTCTAGATTTATATTAATCAGGGTCAGCCAGGGGGGGTAGTGGTATACCAGCATACCCGAAAAAAATTCGCCAAAATACCCAAATATACACAAAATTCATCCAAATATACCCAAAATTATACCCAGGTATACTTTATACCTGAAATTCAAAGAAAGTGATATACCGAATACCCGTATTTAAGCTGCAATATACTGTATACCCGATTTAAAAAGCTCCTGTATACCGTATACCCAAAAACCCTGGCCGACCCTGATTAATACAAGTATGAATATCCACATTCATTATTTTAAAAAAAAGATGGTTGTAACATTTAAATAAAACCAAAATCTGTTTTAGAACACGAATGACGGCAACTTGGAGGATGCGTTTTCTTTTAATTCTTTAATGTCCAAAGGCCTACTTGAAATTAATTTTTTTTTTACTGAAATTCATGCACCTATTGTGCATGGTTTTGGTCAACATAATGGTCTGTTAAATGTGAATAATAAGTATCAAATCTATGTTGTTGTAGTATTGTTCAAAATTGAATTTCAAGAGAAACGGATTTAAAACTAGACTCATTTGTTTTTGATGCTGTTGGTTTACTATTTTTTTTAACGATTTTGGTAGTAAATCTACCACAAATTAAAACGCAGATCAAATAAGTTTGAGTCGTTTGACCTGAAATTCATTCTAAATGGTCAGACAACATTAACCTGGGACAACAAATCTGCAAACATCAAAGTCTGACAGACCCTGCAAGCAAAGGTTTCTCTATTGCATGGGTTTAGTGTTTACGAAGTCATTCACATGCCTTGTCTGTCCCACGGAGCATAAACAAACCAACTTCGCGATAGACAAGCCACACAAACAACTCCGTAAACGCTAAAAGCCATGCAAGAGAGAAACGTCTTCTTGCAGGGTAAGTCTGACAGAATGGTACTCTTTCAAATTAGCCAACTGGGCAATTGGTTATTGTTTTTTGTTTTACTTTTCAGTGTCTCGAAGAATTTTAAGAAAAAAAGTAAAGGTAAAAGTGATGACAAGAAGCTGAAAGTGAAGCCAAAAACGTTTCCCAAAGAAATTAAAACTGATAACTTAATAGGAGTGAAAAGAAAAGCTAATGACACTGATGGTGTTGGAACAAAGCAGTTCAAAACGAAGAAGTGGAAAGGTGATAAACAACATGACGCCAGGAAGAAAGGATTTTTAGGCAGGGAAAAAGAAAACAAGGAAAGTGATTCTAAAGTAAAGCAAAAGTTTATCAAAGAGTCAAAGAAAAGGAGTGAGAAAGGAAAATTTGACAGTGACAAAACAAGAAAACGGAAACTTGATGCTGATGGTGGACAAAGAGATTCTGTCAAGAAGAAGAAGTCTTCTGAAGTCGAAGAAGGTATGACTCAAATGTAATGATAAAAAGAGTAAATGTTCGTTAATTTTCATTGTGGCTACTGCCTTCTTTTAGGGAAGGCGTAGCCACTATATGGTTGGAGTTCAATCAGTTAAGTCCTTAAATGGGTAAGTCAGTCACTCAGTCAGTTAGTAAGTAAGAAGGTAGGTAGGTAGGAAGGTTGGGGGGGGGGGGGGGTAGGGGGGAAGGGGGGGGGGGGGGGAAGGAACTTTGGGGGTAGGTGGGTTGGGGGGGGGTGTGGCCAGGCGGTCGGGCAGGTGGGTGTTTGGGGAGGAAGGAAAGAGGGTTTAAAATTGAAATTAAACTTAAATTGGGGGGGGGGGGGGGGGGGGGGGGGGGGGGGGGGTTAGTAGGTAAGTAGGTAGGTAGGTACAGTACATTTAGGTATAGGTAGCTTGGTTGGTCTGTTGGCCAGTCAGTCGGACAGTTGGTATGTTGGTCAGAAAGTAAGCAGGTATTAAAATGTAAGTAAGCATTAATATTTGAGTTTATAATTAACTAACTTGAGTACATGCACAAGGAAGTATACTTACTAGCCAATGTAGTTAGTTCATGGGTAGTCCACCAAAGTAATCATTCAGAAATAATCAAATTGGACAACTTGCAAGAGAAAAACCAATTGGCTATTAATTTTTGCAAGCAAAATCTGATTATTTTTATTAAACCACTGACCAACTAATCTTTTTAAAAATAAATATTTCTACAGGAGTTTAACATAAAACTGCAAGCAAACCCTTTGATATAATTCCTCCAATAAATTAACTAAGCCAGTATCTCTTCCTTTTTCTGTATTTGTTGTACTTATGTATCTGTATATTTCCATGGCAACACAGGTTCTGACGACAAGCCCAACATTTGGCAAATGAAAAAGAAAGAAAGGAAGGACTTTCGTCGAAGACAAAATGAAGACTATGACCTGGTCCATGACCTTAAACAGCTGTATGAAACTATTAGGAGGTTGGCTACTGACTTATTTTTTATCTTTTTTTTTTCAGGCTATAATACTGTAGTATATTATCAATGATTATTATGTAAAATTATCAATTTGTGGATTTGTTGTCATAGCAACAATATGCTTGTTACTGAAGCTGACTCTTAGGTTGTTGTACTAATTTATATTGTTTTATTCTTATTTTTTGTAACAGAAAAAAATCATCTAAAGCTAAGAAAACTGAACTGGTAGAAAAAATTTTAAATCTTATTGCTGGTCACTCCCACCAAGTGAGTATACTTTTTCAATCCCAAAGTAGGCACAAGGTGATGTTCTTAGGTTCAACTTCTATCATGGTAACCAAGAAAATAGATCAGTTGGCATTGTCTTTCATTTTTTAGGTGATTTTCAAGCACGATACAGGTCGTGTTATCCAGTGTTGTGTGAAATTTGGAACATCTGAACAAAGGCAAAAGCTGTTTGAACAGTTTAAAGGTAAGCTTATTTTTTGTGGGGTAAATTTTTCAGTCATTTTAAAAAATTCACTTCTTTGTTAGAGAAGTACATTATTCTTCAGAAAAAAATTTAACAGTTCTGGGTTGCAAAGGCATTCTTTATTATTTGGTACATTATTTTTTTTTCCTTCTGATTTCAGATGACTTAGGAGAGTTGATCAAGTCAAAGTATTCCAAGTTTCTTGTGAAAAATTTTTTGAATTATGGGTAAGGTCAAAGGATTACCATTATATTAATAATTAATAGTGAATGCTTATTGGATAGAACAAAGTAAATTACCATGAAGATTCTTTTTTAATTCATGTATGTTACCTCATAATGCACAGAACAAAGAAACAGCGAGATGTCATCATCAAGTGCTTTTATGGACAAGTCCGCAAACTAATTAGACACAAGGTAAGTCTAGATTTTTCTGTTTAAAGTTACCTGATGAAACTTTCCATAAGCAGACATCTTTGGAACCAAAAACAGTGTCCGCTTGGAGATTTTCACTGAAGAAAGAATAGTATAAAAATGCAGTGTTTGCATACATCTGGGATGATAACTACAACGTATGTGTCTGCTTTAATACCGGAAGTGTCTATCCATAGAAGGTTCGGCAACTTCCATAAGCAGAGGTTCATATGTTTACTTATATTCCTGAAGTTAAATTATGCTAATAATACATCAGAGCTGTCATTAAGGGTGGTGACCCATGACACCTGTTACGGCTGAGCTCACTTGATGTTACAGGTAAACTAAGTAGAAAGCTAAAGGTGACACTACAAATTTTTGTGAGATGTTATGGGTGAATCTTCATTTGCTATGGCTTCTTCAATACCTAATGACAGCCCTGATACATGGCCATAAATCCTCTTTTAAGCCCCCTGAGAAGATGAGAGGGAGGCGTAGTAACTTTTCCCCTGAAAAAAGCAAGGGGTAATCAGAAACGGGGGGGGGGGGGGGGGTTAAATGTATTTTAGAGAGGGAAGGGGCTAAAAATAGGATTTATGATATTAGCATGAAGCATTCCTTTGAAGGCTACAGCTGTAAATGATAAAGCAAAATTTAGATGGATTTGCAGTGAGCTTCCTTCCCAAATTCCTTCTCCTCTTTGCTGTCACTCCAGCTTTTGTGTTCATCTTACATTTAGGCTATAAATGAAATTACTGATCTTTATATATTATATTAGCTCTAAATTTTTCAAGTTTTACAGATGTAAGGCAAATTGTGATTGTGTAGCTCCCTGAAGTTAATGAAATCCTGTGAAAGCACAGTAGCTCATGATCACTTGTTTTTTACCTTCAGGAAGCAGCATCAATTCTCGAAACAATTTACAGTGAATATGCAAATGCCGAGCAAAAAGCTTTCCTGATTCAAGAATTCTATGGAGCTGATTTTGCTTTCTTTAAGGTACAGTAGAGTATGAAAAGTTTATTTTTATTCAATTTAAATTGTCCCTACTGTGTAAAAT